GATCCTACTAGATCTACTGCTGTTATAACTTTAAATTTAGGTCAGAGTCACCAGGTGGGCAATCTTTATTATAAATCTTAATTTTAGTTTATTTGCTTATTTATTAGTTTTTTTTAAGTACCACGCGAAATAGATTTTCCTATTTAAAAAATAATTCTGCTAATCATGGATACTAAATTCCAAGGGTTATTTTATTTAGTCACAAATATTATATACTTCTATTTTTTTGTATGAAACAAAATAAAAATCAGTGTTAGAAATTCTGTTCACTTTCAACTGTGCAAGAAATTAGATGTTAGACTAGTTATTACCTTAAATGATGATACCACCAATTAAAAATAATGCAGTGTCTATATATTTTTATCTGTTAGATAACTTTATATTTAACATAAACTGAAATACTGTTGAAGAGGACCATAGTAGGGCGAAACAAAGGTCTTGGTGCCCCTTTAATTCCTATGATTTTCTTCAACTGATTTCAGTTTACAAAAACAAACAAACAATCTACAAAATATCAACCTTATGAAAGAATTGGAAACTTTCATAAGATGTTTCACTGAGAATCAATAGATGAACTGATTGATGAATTAATCTACCGACCTTATGAATCATTCTCTTTTATATACTGAAAAAAAATTAATACTTGGGTAAGTTAAATAATATGGATGAATATTTTAAAGGTGAAGGTGAGATAAATCAACATCTGTAGTGATAACTAAATAGAAGTCGTTTGAATTCAAGAATTTAAACATCACAGTAATGTAATATAATACTTACTAGAATAAAAACGGATTAATTATCATTGAATTACTGATTACGAGCAAAATTGTTCTTATCAAATTTTTATTTGTTTAAACAATAAAATCTATAGGTAATCTGATATACTTTCACTAGAGATTAATTATACCCTTGAATATTCCTAAAACAGTTTTAATAAAATATAAAATTTTACTTAAAAGTACTTTTGTATCCAATTTTTCTACCTTATTTAGTTATTTAAATTTGATTTCGATATCTGAACTGAACTGTTGGTCCAATGCGAAGTGATGCACATGGAGAGTGATAATTTCAAAAATGCCCATAGCACCACAGCCTCGCCTAGACTCGGGTCGCTGGGTCCAAAATCCAGAGTGCTAACCGCTACACCATGAGGCCACGTTCGCGACACAACCACACACACTACACCACACATTCAAATCATACCTACACCATACCGACAATATATCAACTACAATTCCTCACACAATTATCCATTCCACTACCAGGATCCACAACTACAACAACAACATCAACACTACAACACGTCACTTCCATCTTCATCTCCATCTTGTCCTTCACATTCGTCGTCACCTACATTTACACACACACATACACATAAAAATCTCAATCACTCACTTTTCCTCACATCCACGTGCACACGCGTGGAGCAGACCGACAGTCAGACAAACAACTCAGTCGCCTACCGAATTCCTGTCTTCCTGACTCACCCACTCACTCACCAACACAGTCACTCTCTCCAACTCACACGTCCACGAACTTACTCGCACCGACACATTGATATCGGTGAAGCGTCCATCTATGTCATCCAATACAACAAACTATCCAGGACAACATCAAAATCTGACTCGACACACTGTGTCTAGGTGGTGTGCCATTCGATCGTCTCACAGACACCACGACCACTATTCCGGTCAGACGAAACGGCTCGACAAACGTGCCGACTGGGAAGTAGCTGTGTGCACTGGTCGAGTGTGAGTGGTGTGATGTGGTCGGAGGAATGCATCTTGAAGTGTTTCACGTGGTGGTCAGTGGTAGTTTAAAGACACCTGATAGGACGAGGCTCCTCCGTCACTCGAACTCGATTCACTAGATTCGCAGGTCAGAGTGGCAACCTCCACACCACCACACCGTAGATGCATGCTCACCGCATACATAACATCACACATTCACACCACACATACAAACGACACGACATGCCATCAACAACATCGTTTCGCTCACACAAAATATCCCACAGTGCACGCCAACACTGCAATCACAGACACATATGCTCACTAACTAACTAACTCACTCACGCAATGTCACACACAAGCATTAATACTGGAACAGTCTGTGAAATACAATGGCTCAATTACACATATGCGTAATCACATGCAGGTGCAGAAGTGTGGAGTAGGAGGAATCTGTATGCATATGTGGTAGCCTCCTGGACATGTGTAATTGGGACACGCGTACGTAGTGGTGGGTGTGTGACCGCAATCGGTCGAACACAGACGACATAGTAGTTTGTGAATCACAGTTTGCCGTTCAGCCTGTTGACTGACCAGCTGATTGATCAGATTGAGGAGTGGTGTTGAGTGCAATGGTGAAGTGTGATTGGGACGACGTGATCGAAGGGTTGTTGAGAAGTGATACACATGGAGAGTGATAGTTTCAAATGTGCCCATAGTACCACAGCCTCGCCAGGACTCGAACTCGGGCCCCTGGATTCAAAGTCCAGAGTGCTAGCCGTTACACCACGAGGCCGCGTTCGCACCTGACAGTGACAAATATGATTATTTGATAACATGTATTATGAATTTACTTGAGATGTGAACAGCACATCCAAATGAAATAAATCTATAATTCCAATAGCACAGGAATCAGTTTCTGAATAAAAATCAACAAAATTTGTTCTGGTTCTAAGTCCAATGAAGAAATAATAAACTGACTGCCGTTAACGTTACATAATAAAATCTGAGGTTGGTTAATCTGTCCAACTGTTGATTCTTTTTTAATTGATCTAGTCTCGTTGGCGGTTGTCACTTAACAAATAAATGGCTCAGCAATGACTTTTGCGAATAAATCACTAGAATTTTGATATGAGAAAAAGTATTACTCAAGTGGTTTAAGACTATAGTTATGGAGATTAAAAGCAAAGTAATATCACGGTTGTTTGTTAATGAGGTAAAATATTTTGCATTGCCCATTGTAATTACTCCATAACCGAAAATTGGAAAGAATTAATATCATGAAGACCATTCACCATAATTAACATGTTAAATCCGCCCGAGGATCGAACCAAGCGACTGAGTGATGCATTAAACCCCGAAATCAAAACACGAGATTTCTTTACAATACTCCATTATTATCAATAATGTTCAAAACCAGTGGATTTTATAAGCCATAATTCACTAGGTATTTAGATCGCTCATAAGCGTCAAGGTACAGCTAAATAAGAGGTGTTTTCTGTAGTAGTTATCTAAGAATTATTTACAGGAAATGTTCGGTAAGCTAAGTAACAGCCAGGAGATATATCAACCCAACGATGGCAATCAACAAATCGAAACGAGAACTGCGCAAGGGAATTATGGAAACTGTTATAAATGAACATATATTCAATGAAAATATATGGAATAAAGACAATCTTTAGAACTGTTAAGAGAATACAATTATAATAATAGGTGGATTAAATGTCATAGATTCATGTAGATATTTTGAATGATCAGAAAACGACGTACAAGTTATTTGATATGTTCAGAAATGATTGACATTGATATAAGTTACTGAATATTAGTAAGTAGCATAGTGCAATACACAAAAAGGAAAGAATAGAAATGAAAGCAGGATTGATCAAACCCTCGAATCGATAACATAATATCAAGAGGTACGGAGAGAGTCGTCAGTTATGATTGTATTTAATAGGAAAGACGTTATATTATGAAATACTAGATTGGAAGATAGTGATGTAGACGAACTTGGCATAGGCCCATGAAGCCATTGACTGTTGAATTCAGTTGGCAGGTGCAGACTACCTGATTGGGGTCCTCTTGATTATTATAGCAAATTGTTAGAAACATGAAGTAATATAGATCATAACCTTCCTAAACGCGTTCACTTATTGTCATTCCTAAAATCTTGAGTTTCAAAATCAAACTATGTATTTTATATTTCACGAATTTACATCTCGAATCACATAGTTTATGCGTAATATTTCCACCTACCACTCTAGTATCTCGCTATTACACAAAAATCCCACCTATTTAGATCTTTAAGCTTTTGCCAGTCTCCCACTAATACTAAAAATAAGTGTGTACTGTACGAATGATTCTGATGTGATAAATCGTATGGGTCAGCAACTTCAAACCATTAACAATTATTTTATATAAAATGAGTAACAGTTATGGTGTATTCTAGAGATTTAATTTATATCTATGTATGGTACGAATGCTTAGCATCCTTCTAACAAATACATCGATAGCATGAATACTCCAAATATTTTGTGGCAAGTTATTCACTACAAGTTGATTTTCAGATCATAAACAATATTTTAATTATGATCAACATGAATTTTCGACTGTCTGTTGATCCTCCGCAGATTTAAGATGATAACAATTTAAAGAGAACCAACAACATAAACTAATATGAACAACTAAGGGGAACAGATCTGTTTTCTTTATAGTTTAACGTCCACAACTTTATTTTTTCGTATTCATTTTAGTTGATATACAATAAGCTATCATATCTTGAAAATTCATTTTGCACTGATGTGGCCAGTAGAAACATATGAAATAGACAAATAAGATGAGCCAATTAACACAGTTCCTTTAGTGTAGCATAATTTGATTGATGAGATATAACACACAGAAGTAATTATCAATATTTTCGAGAAGAAAGTTAGAATTTCTAATTGTATTAAACAACTGAGATTGTTTTGTCCCACTAAACACAGTAATCCAGCAACATAGTTTTGGATGACAGGAGAATTAAGTAGAATCGTAACAATTGTGTATACGCAATAGAAAATAACTATTCATCCTATTTTCAGATATTTAAAACATTTCTAGAGATCGTGAACATCTAAGACAACTAAACTCAGGGCACTAACAAAGGTAGTCTTCATTCATTTACACCATATTAAAGTTAATCAACTAAAAACAGTATAGTGTCAAGAAGATTTCACCCCTCAACACTACACAACCAATTGTAGATCCCACAAACAGTATCGAAGAAAAAAAACCTTAGCACTGAAGCTGCTTACTATTTTAAAGGAAAAAGCATGTAGAAATATCAAACAGTTTAATTCATACATTGTTAACAGGTCTGGACATTTATGTTTTCACAATAACCTGTGAATACTGATATGTTTACAAATGCTCAGAATGAAGTGTTCTTTTTGAATAAAAAAAACAGATGAAAAAACTAAACGTTGTTAAAAAAGGCAATCTTACAAAAAAATTTTGAGACGAACATTTGAAAAGTACAAAATGTAGTTTTCGTAACTGAATAGTTTTTACCAAAAAACATAAATGTTCGAAAAATATCTAATAAGAAATTCAAGAATTTGAATTGGCGGCTGCCGCGGCCGCTGCTTGTGTTGCAGCTACTGCGGCAGCACGTTGAGCACCCCAATGAATATAATCAGATCGAGTTGCTGCACTATGCTCTTCAATTAAATTATGAACAACTTGTCTACTGTCAGAAAATTCTTTTAATTCTGGATCATCACGAAATACATCTTCCTTACGGAATTGTTCAATAAAAGCACCACGAGTACGTAATTTATCATACTGAGCTAAGGTACGTAGGAAAAGCTATAAACGACAGAAGAAGATAAATAGACTGCTTAATTGAAATGATCACTTAAATAAATAGAAAACGAAAACAAACCAAGCAAATAAAAGCGGTAACTCGCCAATAACATTGGAAGATGGTTGTGCGATATCGAGAAGTGATCGAAACTAGACATCCAAACCACCATTGGATGCTGGTTCAGTGATCTAAAGGTTGAACACTCTTCGCGAGACCTAAGGGTCTTGGAGTTTCATATCCAGTGGAGTCATGGATGTTTATTGCTGAGTCTCATATTAGAACGAAATAGTTATTCAGTACTTTTTGTTTTCCAATAGGTGTCTAACTAAGACCAGTCGCGTGACGTAAACCATGTTATACATACATTTTCGGAAAATAAACTAAAGGAAGTTTGATGGGATTACTTAACTGGTAGTCATACTTAGTACAATCTATATTTTTATTGAAAATATTCTATACTTGGAATTTTCAAATTCATTTGAACATGCTTTTTCTTATATTAGAACAGTGTATTTCACAAAGTTTTGTAATATGTAAAAGAACCATTTGCTAAAAATGACCAGTAGAGTGTTAAACATGTTAATTGTATTTTACTGTATTGTAAACTTTTTATAACATGTATTTAGTGGATTGATATTTCAGACAGAAAAAAATTTGAATAATCTATTATATGTGAATTTAGGCAACCATTTAAAGCCAAAATCAATGGTAAAATAGATTCTTTTGGGAAATTTGAATAAAGTATTTAGTGTCTAGGTTATGTTTTTTGCTGGTCAAATAAACAAGGATGTTGAATTTCGGATAAATTCAAACTATTTGGTTGCCAATGAAAGCAGAGAATGAACATCTAATATTTGACTGATGTAACTAATTTATCAAGTACAGATTTTGTAATGAACTTTGAGAACTTACGATCCTACCCTGGTGGCCAGATAGAAGTAGGCAGGGTTTAAACATGCACTTGAACAGTTGAAGGACCAGAGAATTAAACAATAAGTCAATAATTGACTCTGTCTGACCAATGACTAAATATAAAGCTTGTTTTATTCAATTTCAAAGAGGATATTATTTTAGTTGAGGATTTATGATTACCATATTTGGAACACATGAAGACTAAACGAATACATAGATTTCTTTGTTGGCAATATACACTTGAATTCTAGAAACCTACCTCAAAGTTAATAACTAGTAAGCAAATGATTCTTGCTAGAATAGAAATTGGTGTTTAATGTTTAGTCTGAAGTTAGTTTTAATAACAGTCTTGTATAAGTAGGGGAACTGTTGAGAATCAGGGGGACTAACAGAAGAGTTTGTGTGCTAGTATTAATGGAATAAAGACATTTTTACGTGATTATATAGAGCTACAAAATGAAAGGTAAGTACACGCAAACACTTACAGTTGATATGCTTGTATGATTTGCAAGTAAAAGACCACTAACACGATGCGGTGTCTGAACATATGGAGATCGCCTAGACAGAGCAACTTGAATGCTAGCTGGACCCCAAGGTATAAACTGAGCCATACGGCGTTCTCGAATTCTCTGTAGTGATTTATGTACTTCAGTAGGATCGACTTCTCCTGAAAGAAAACGAGTCAAGGTAGTTAAAAGCTGATTCGCGAAATATGCCGTCAGGAATAAGGATGACTACGAATCAGATGGAGGCACAACTAGTTGACATAAATATAAAAGACAAGACCTGACTACAGACAGACTGTCAGTGACATAACATATTATCATGATCAAGAACAAATGGATTGAGTGGGGGGTCGACATTTTGCAAAACTATATATTTAGCATTTTCTAAAGTTTAATTCACTTTGATAAGCTATTTTAAAAGAGACAAACAGTTATTTAGAGTAATTAAATTGTTGCATGACAGCTAAGTGAACGTACGAGGTCTATTAACTGAAACTTAACATTTTAATTTAATGTTGTAAGACATTCATTCACGTGATCATTAAAATTTGGTGACAGATCACAGAGAAATAACTGACCAGGCGAAAAAGATTAGTTGATTGGAGTGAAGAGTGCAGAGAACGAGTGATCTCATAAGTGCTTTTATATAGTGTAATAATCGATTATGTAATCAAAGTATCTAATCCTTAGTCCTCGGTAAGTTCTACAAAATTCAATATTCGCTAACTATTCAAAACCACTTTTTTATCTGGAATAGATATTGGGGACTTCCCATGGAGAAATATGTGGAATGTCTTCAATAGAATTACCATCATACAAGCATATAGCATTCTAATTATAACATGCGGTAAAAACTGAACTAAGAGGGCATACAAACAATTAATTACTTTTAAACAAAGCCGTTTTTTAACCAATAATTGATATTTGAAGAAATTCCTAGAATGTAGCTACAGCTGTAGTTTACATGTTGATCATTACAACTTAAACAAAGTAACATTTTGGCCGAGAAGAGAGGTCGTGAATTCCATTTTGTACAAAAGTTTCTATCAGATAAAGATGGAAACAATAGAATAGAAACAGTAGTTCAATTTAACACAAAATTAGTTTTTAAAGTATTGCATTTCTGTGCCCTACTTCATATTGAATTCGTAAGAAATATTGGATAGTACACTACAATTAAAATCAGGTTTTATTTATAAATGGCTTAGAGATCTTATTGAACACGACTGGAACTTTAAAAAAACGTGTTCAATAAACTTCGAACACTTGTAGTTTAAGTCAGAATGAAGATTTTACTATAACCTAGTTAGGTAATTTGTCAAGTTTAAATGTACTCTTTTTAAAAACAAACTGATTTCATGTGGAAAGACCATTGAAAACCAAGTAGGGGACTGTAATCCTACTTCATTGTTATGAGGTCCATCAGCAGGGGACACACCCACGACTCTACAGGGATTTACCAGTTTATATGTCATAGTTTGTTTGAGATGGAGAACTACTCCAGGTTCGACACCTACCAAACAAACTAAACTACTATGGCGTAATAAAAAACCTTTAGTGAGAAAAAAAGTTATTTAATGCTTCTCCCTACTGCCTATCAAGTTTCACAACCTCATAAACGAAGACAAATCTTTAGAAAGCGTACTATACTGGCGGATCATTATCCGCTAGAGCTAAAATGAAGGTTACAAACAAGTAGAAACAAACTATCGGTCATTTGAAAAACAGGGGGGACATTTATCTTTCCTGTCCTATTAAAATCACCAAAGTAAATAACGGACTAATAATAATTAAATAGAAAATCACCTTGGATTATATTTAGTATAGAAACATAACAATGACTGACACCGCGCTGTGTTGGAGTGGAGACCATCATATTTTTTGGCTGTAATAAACGTCTCATGACATCGAATACAGTTGTCCGTCGAATAGTTGGAACTTCAGTATCTGTTGTCAATGGGGTATAACCAGTCATTAAGAAATGCAATCGTGGAGTTGGAGTTAGTGGAGCTATTAAGCCAATTAAATCATTATTCATATAGCTTGGATAACGAAGTGTAGCCGTACTTGCAGACATTACTTTGGAGACCTTAACTCATAGTAGAAAGATAAGAGAAGCACTGATCACTTATTGATAACACAAAAATAAACTCGATGAAGTACTAGTCAAAAATGGTTATTGACAGTAACCGGATGCGAAAGCTGAAACTTGAGAAATTGTCTACAGTACCAAAGAAGACTTTCTATGAACATTGAACTTACGAAAAATACTGTTGCAGGAATATTGAAAACCGGATTTCAAAATATTTTGGATAAACATTCTATTTCTCGAAATTTCGTATTGTCTTCCTATGGCCGACCTATTATTTATGGATGCGTTAAGAACCAAGTTATGCTATGAGTCACATCAATGTACATCTTTAATTTCACTTGCATTTGTGGGACAGGCTATATTGGCCGCATTTAGTGAACACTTTCCAAACGCATCTCAGAACATTACTTGGAACGTCTTTCAAAGGAGAATGTAAAATAATCAATGTCTCAATATATGGATATCTCTTTAATTCTGTTTACATACCCTTACTGAAATTATTTCTAAAAATAATTTGCACAGTTAAACGAATTAGATTAAAGGGAGCGCGAATTAAAAACTTGTGAATTGCAGAGACTTGAGCAATTCAAGTCTGAACTTTGTGTGTAAAAACAACACATACAACTACGCATTCCTTCATGACCTTAAAAACTCTTTTATTACGTTCGGAGAAATCAGTTGTTCTTGTTGTTACCTCTGCATTTCTAATTTGTTCTTTATATCTATCAAGTGGATAATTATTTCTCGCATTTAGACTCCTACACAACCTTCTTGTGACACTTGGGATGTTTGAACACTTCACGGTATACTGGTTTTACTATTTTTCCAATCGATTAATACATCTTTTCAATCACCATAAATACGATTATACAGACTCAATAAATGATACCATCAAGAAGAAACTTTTCTTTGCTGAATTGACTTTCGTTCTTCAGAAATAATTTTACCAACAAGAAAAGTTTGTGTAATATATATATTGGAGTTTAGTTTACAAAAAGAAAATTATGATGAGACATGGAAATTGCCTTATTGGAACAAGATAGAGCTGAACAAAACAGTTCACGTAACAAAATTTCAAGACAATATACAGGATGAAATAATAGGGATAGAAAACATTTTCACAAATGAATTTATATCACCAGTATCGCTACAATGCTTTAAGGATTTCTTATCCAGTTCTTTTCAAAAACTACCCCTTCTTACACACATAGTGAGGAGGAATAATAAAAGTTTTGAACGTCGGTCGCGTCTATATCTTAATTGATCTTCGAATAGAGATATACATAACCGGAACAACAAGTAGCTGGATTCAAACCAGATCATTTAAAAGGCAAGCATCTTTAAATAACTCGTTCAAACAATAGCTACAAAGTAATTTAGTCAATAGGACTTGATTGGTAGACTAAACTAGATAATCATCAAGTTAGACTTGTTTGATGATAAAGAAAGTGAACGGACAGTTATTGAAACATTGTCACAACAACTACTACAATTATTATGAAGAGCTAATATTTCCAAAAGCGTCAACCCACATATCTCTCTGGTTGACCTAGTTTAACTCTCTCAGTAAACAGTTCAGTTACTGTTTAAATCACTGAGTCTTTCCATGTTTCAGCCGAAGTAATTTACATGAAGTGGGCTGGACGTTTAGGTACACTTTTATTATATTCTTCAAATAAAATGAGAAGTAACTTTTTTCAGGTTGAAAATGAGTTTTTACTGGCTGTAAAAGAAATACTTTCACCACTAGTAAAGCTGTTAGCTAACATATTAGACATATGGACACAAATCGAATAATCTGAGTGGATGATCGTAGATCTACCCAAAGTGATCCCTTTACCAAGCTGTTAAACGTAAGACATACCTCTAGCGTATCAAATCCAAAGTGTTTACAAACCATTAAGAGATTTTATAAGTCCGCCCTGTCAAATTGCAACAGTGTTGGATAAAATTCAGTTTAATTACAATTTGGGATTCATCGAAAAAATTTGTAATGGTTATAACATGATCACAGATCCTACAAAGGCAAGTGCCATCGTTCACATCAAACAGACACAGAAAATTCAAATATATAGATGATCACTTTCATGTTAATGATACCTACCAGCTGATTGATTTGTGCAAATGATGGATTCTCAATATGCAAACGATCAGTAGCTATACGATGCAGAGCAGTATTATCTAGAACAACCTGTTAAAAAACAAAGATATAAAAAGACAGGTTTATAGGTGCTAATACATTCCACTGATTGATAACATTGTATGATAACTGTAAACAGAACACTATCAGTGAACCATATATAATATAAATGATTAGCAATAAGTCAAAATAATTAACTGATTGTTTTCACGTTTTGCCAATATGAAACAAATAACTGATAAAAATTAGTATTTTTCGCACGTAATTGTGTTGGCGTTTTTCAATTATTAATAACACTTTTTAGTGGATTTTTGTCATGAAAGCTTGTGAAACATTGATGGTAGAAATTATGGGATATAATTAGCGTCAATAACTTATCATTCTTTTGAAGGAGATGAAAATACGTTTACTCAAAATTTAGAAATCAGCCAATTGACAGTATTTTATAAAATAATGAATGCGTAATGTATTGTTAAACAAAGGATACAACAAGATTGCAAACAATGTTTAGTACAAGTCTATATTAACAGGAAATTATTGAAGATCAGAGAATGATTAGATCATGTTTTATTTTGCTCTACAGATAATCAGTAGTACGTATAATCCAACCGGTTCGTTACCAAGAAATGAAACCATAAATTTCTACAACAGTGAACTATATGTTCTTAATCTCAATAATTTATGCTTTTTAAACAATGCAAAGTAGTCAATAGCTTGTATTAAAACGTATGTAATGACTAAATAATTTATTTATATCATATTAATGAGTAATTATCTAATAACATATCAACGCTTACGTTAGCAATCTGGCAACATCTAAACAAGTAGAATATACTTGTGAATAATTGAACAGCGTATAAACTTTTGCTATAGATATTTCTGATAATCACTTACAACTACATAAATTTATTGTACACATACCTGGTGGTTATATGACTAAGAGAAATGCTCAACTCCATTTGTCTTAAAATAATTCTTATTTTTACACGATTTCATGTTTAAATAATTTAATACTTTCAAATTAATTTATATGAGGACAATAATGGGAGTTTTATTTTCAATATTAGATAAAATAGGAATGGAACAGAAATATTTTAAGTATAGGAACAGAGTAACTGCTCAAATACATTTAACTAATATTTTCAATGATACGATATATTCGCTTAGTAGATCGTTTTTAAGGGATTAATTCAAATAAGGAAACTTACTACTTTTACTATGTCAAAGTTGTTATTATCTACGGAAAAGGATGTTGCAACTATAAAATACATTGTGGTTGAATACAAAGATATATGTAAATGATTTCAACAAGACAAGATATACTACATAATAAAGTGGAGCCAAATAAACCGGTTAGTGGTGATTCCAGTTTGCATACAAATGAACTTTAGGTGTTATTTTCACTTTGCACAGTTTTTAGTTCAAATATCTTCTTACTTAGGTTAATTAAGTCAAACTACTTGTTGTTAGATGTATCCATCGTACGGTAAAGCTGGAGTACTGGAGATAATATCCAGGTTGACACTGGTACATTTTTTCGGTGAGAGAAAGGTACGGAATATATAATAGTTCTGCAAAAATCATTACATAGTATTATATACAATACGAGGACTCACCACACAATCAGCATTCAAAGTGAGACGTTTTAGTGTTAACAAACTGTTATAAGGTTGAACAACAACATCACTAGTTTCTTCTAAATTTGGGAATACTGAATACGTTTGAATAAGTTTTTTTGGGAAGTGCGAATTAAGACGTTCAAGAATAAATGAACCCATCCCAGATCCTGTTCCTCCAGCGATAGAATGAGTCATTACGAAGCCCTTGTTAGGAAAAATGTAGTACATTAGTACAAAATATATACAGAATATAAACTAACAATTTAATTACCACTGGAAGTGTAAATACATATGGTGGCATTAAGAGACCTAATGCTTAACTAATACACACAACAGAATGTTAAGCTTAATAACAAAGTATGTAGGAATACAAAATAGTGACAGTACTTCTTCAATGAAGAATTTACTTTGCCAGAGACATGTCTAAAATAATTGCACTAAGTATATTGAACTCCTTACGATAATACTGGTTGTATAATTGAAGCATTTGACTATAGAGTTGGGATTTCACGTACAGTGTAATTATATATCATGCCGAACAAAGTTATCTACAAATCTCTGACCAGTTCGTTACGTGAATAATAACTATCTTTTGGCAACTCTTCTAGGATCTACGTAGATAAATTCAGGGTTCTGTAAATTACTAACTTCGGGATAGGGATTTAAATCAACATTATCTCACATTTTTGAGCTTAAGGGTGCTGAAATATTGAGAGGCAGACGAGTAAACTAGAGTCATTTACCTCTTAGTAACGGGGATATTTAACGGATGAAGTGTTCGCGAACTTCCCAAAAAGGATAAGATAACACAAAACTGTTTATGACGGTGAAGAGGTTTGGTATTACCCTTTGTGACAGAGGAAATCTAAGAGAAACGGTAAAGTGAGTTATGGGAAGAAAGAGTTAGCAGAATGAAATGGTTATAAGATGATGCGTCGACAAAGTAAAGATAAATAGACGAATAAAGCTGTTACTATAAACGGTTTTCAGTTATCCCACTTGAGAGTCACTAACCACTGATTCATCGTATCTCTGACTGCAGATAGATGTCGAAGCTTAAATGAACAATCAGAAAAATTGTGAAATAGTGCTAGATCTTGATCTGATTGCCACGAAACTTTAGTCAGTACACTTTTATTTTAACCAATGATAAACATGCAAGCAGGTAAAAAATTGTTGTGAGTGTGGTGTATGCTACTTATGTTGACAGATATAAGTAGTATGTATCACTAATCGGAAGTGGAATGCATGACAGAAAAAGATTGAGAGGATTCAATTGAAGAGAACAGAAAGTAATTGTAATGACAACAGAGTTGAAAGGATCATGAAGCGTGTAAAGGACAACTGATGGAAGATGTGCAAATTGTGTATTTAAGGTATGGTTTCATATTTTACGAAAGCACTCTGTAATTTTGCATTAAACAATAAGTTCGTCTTCCCCACCTAATTTATTCGTCCACTACATGTGCAGCACGGTAGCAGCCAGAGGAGGCTGATGACAGGTAGTTATGTAGGGTAATAAATAAGCAATCGATGTAAAGTGCTCTCAGAAACCCTTAGTAAGTGTAGTTAACGCTGCATGTCACAATAAAATGCCCTGGTACGGTCGAGGATGGGGAGAGTCAGCTCTCCCTCTAGAAGTGCTCTCATATAGTCACATGTATACAACCATCGCCAAGGAAGTCCCACTCGCTGCCTTCTCGTGGCAGGGGTGTTGTTTACGAAATTAGGAGGACGAAGAGCGAAGGTCTGGAGCTTTAGCCGGGTTGGTGGACATAGAGCGTCCACCTAGGGGAGTTGAAAAACCCTGATTCCAAACCGATAGTGCATATTAGCTCCAGTAACCCATTGCTGGTCGCCGGCTACTATGGGACTGCATCTCCTAACGCTGCTCCACTGCCTTGCAGATTAAACTTCTAGGTCGAAGGCTCTTGGTGTGACCCCCTAAGAAAACCACATGCTTCGGTTTGGGCACCCGGGCAGTATCGCAGCCCTCACACAAATGAGTGATAATTGCTACCGGCCTCACTGTTATTGTGTGGAGCATATATGTTTGGTGCCCCCTTGTGCCAATATTTATGCGTTAAAATAAATAATAAACAAATAGTATTTCAATTCATATGGAAAGGAGTAAAGGTTTGTAAAACTACTGAGTAAATAACTGATAAAAAGCTTGATGATCGAAGTGAAGGGTTAACTAGTTCCAATTAAACCTTATTACCTCTAAGCTATCACTTCCTTCGGCTTCACGATCAATAATATCAAACACTTCTTCCTCCAGTTTTTCACCTTGTGTGTATCCAGCTGCCCAATTATTACCGGCACCACCTCCATGTTTAGATAAATATACATTTTCTGGATTGTAAAGTCGAGCATAAGGTGAAGATAATATTGTATTGATTACACGTGGTTCTAAGTCCAGTAACACAGCACGAGGAATATAATGAGCATCATCTGCCTTTATAAGAAACATGAAAATGGTTTAATTATGTGGAAAATCTTATACACAAAATTACATATCATTTTTCCTACTATAGTCAATTATATATCTGTGTAGTCCCCGTAAAGTAGTTATTCGTTATTTTGCAACTTCCAAACGATAATGGTTTGGTTACTGGCTGGCATAACTAGACTAACAACCCCTTGTAAAGGTTATAAATATGACCAGCCAATATACGTTTGCTCAGCAATGTGGGATATCTGAGGAAACTGAAACCATTGGGTACCCAGCTGAAATATTTTACAATACAAGGGAAAGCTTATAGAAATATGGTAAAATCTGAATTGAGACAAACAAAAATTGTGATTGAACAAAAACTGAAGTCATTTTCTCAAAGATTGTGTAGAAATAAGAACATCACACTATAAGTATAAGGATTTTACTACTCGCATCTGAGTTGTCAGTTAGTTTTACCACCAAGCAGGTTGAGTGACGTGTGAAAGAATGCTACTAGAAGTGCTCTGTGTGGGAGTGCCCATGATAAATTTGTCTACACAACAAAATCTATTCATTAAAACATCTAGTTAGGACAAGAATAATTTTCCTCTAACTTTCTTGTTCATAGTGCTTTATGGATAACACTAGAAGTTTTAATTTGTTACTGGAGAAACGCTTTTTAGCCTCGAGCTTGAGAAAGTATCATTCAGAAGTAGAATTGATGCTTCTGGAAGATCAACAGAAGTATACATTTACCCGAAGTATCGGTGAATAGTTGTCAAAAATGGTGTATTTTGGTGTCTCTATCGGTAAGATATTGATAGATAAACTCGCTACCGTAAAAAATTAAGATACATTTATCGCCTAGGGATACCACTCACCTGCCGAAACTATTTAGTTATGACAGGAATTAAAACTATGAATAAATTGGTGAAAGCGGAAACCACTGAACCACAGGATGAAGAAAACAATTGACTTAAGTTATGTAACCTAAAACAATGTCCGAATAACTAAGTAAGCAATGGATGATTGAAAAGTATGCAAACTAATTGTGTGGAAATTTCTTACTTACTTGGTAGAAAAAGACATCTTTGCGATCAGCGTCACTTGTTGCGAATTCTTCAAGTGTACCTTCAGGACTGATTCCATGTTCAGCGCACAGCTGCTTCCAAAACTCCATCCCAACTAACATTTTGGTGATACAGAGAAAATGGACAGGCAAATATTACGTGAGAGATAATAAAGTCACAGACTGCTTGTAATAATCCCCATAAAGAGATATACCTACTAAGATTATATCAAAAGCAGATATCTTTAGTTTCAGTAAGTAATGTGATAATTCTGAACATTTCCTAATTTTAATATATACAGTACAGTTAATCAAACATGTTTTAGCACTTGCTTAACAGGTGAAATTTGTTAGTTTTGATTCTTATCTTTTACTTGCATTTCCACAGCCTATAAACGAAGTATGTGGTAAAATAAGTCGCCCTGCTGATACGCTGTACCTTTTGGTACTTATTTCATTTAAAAGCCTCAAATACCACTCCTAAAACAATTGTTTTGGGAAGTTTATTTTTATTTGTTGCAGCTAAAAATATCTGAGAATTCTTTACGGTTTAAATGAAGAACTAAAGGACTGAATTTAGATTTCATTCAGAGCAACACATGTTCCTAGCTAAACCATTGATTGTTATGATCAACTGACTTTGAAACCTAACTTAGTATTTTTGAGTATCACTTCAGTAACGTGAATCCAATAATTTATGAAGTAAGTGGTGTATAATACCAAACGTAACCATAAGATGTTTAAAGACGATTGAGTGACCTTGTACTAAAGAGCTTGGGTATTCCAGCGGTCCAGTTTAAAAACTATAATTAGCGGCGGACTAATCTGTTAAGTTAAAGTCAGCCCATATCAGATAGGTAGACTTATTTTTTCCTTAGCACTGATTGTAGTATAAGGGTAAGTCATCACTTATTGCGTTGCGATTGATGTATTAAGCTTTGTAACTCCCGAAAACTAATTGAAACGTGCAGTTTATGGACTAGGGAGGTAGAGACGTTCTGAAGTGTCAGCTCGGCATAATGTCATACGAATAGACGAGAAAAATAGACCTTGTTGGGTGCGTCTATAGTGACATTTTGAGTCATACTATCCGGACATCAGAAACATGAATAGTTTAACAACAAAATATTCCACTTAAAAGCCGATACAAATGAAATTATTAGTCTTACAGCTTGCAATATGGTCAATGTATCTTCAAAATAGCTAACTACTGAGTGTCATCATGATGCCTTGATTAGACACCAGGTATATGAACGACTCTTACTTGTTGAAAACATATTCACCTGATTGGACAGCAGTTTCGTCTGTCCAACTATTTGGTTGAAATCAGAAACCTGGCGTAGTATTGTTTGATAGCTTGATTAAGCTTTTCGGGGTAGGGAGGAGCGATTTTAAAACAATCTGAACTGAAATATATATTACCAGGGTATACGGCGGGATTGTAAAACCACTAACTTAATACAGATTGAAACAAAAGACGTTTGAGCGCAGTAAAAGGCATTTAAAGAGACGCTATTTATGTGGATGTAGAGGCGTTTAAGGAAACCTCCAGTTTTATTTCTTTTTCTGTTTCACATGATTATACCTTTGCGAATGATTGGGCATATTTATTCGAAAACCTAAGCGACGATGTTAGATATGAGTCTCATACTGACTATTATTCTCACAGATGTTTTAATGATTGGATATCCTCGATCCATGTTTTGGAAGGAATCAGAAGTAATACAAGATGTTTAGTGATGCTAGAGTACATTATCAAGAAACTGGAGTCACGTAAACCGTTTGAAGAGCCTTACGAATTACTGGAGCTACATGGACACTTGAGGACGTGACAGACGTTAAGAAGATAACCCGCTTTGATTCCTCGCTAACAAGTCGGTTAACCATATGTACTTGCTCAGTATACAATGAAAAAAGTATATTATAGTTGAAGCTAGTGAGGGTCCATAAAACAAAGACAAGTTGAGGCAAAATAGATTAGCTACGTGTGGTGGGGAATATCTCAATATATGGTGTGTGTTGTGTAAACCTCACTTATGAAATAAAATTGCTAGTCACAGCAAATCCAGGTTGTTTCGACAAAAAATGCATTTAAAACTCGTAACTAAGTAACAGGACAGGAGAAAAAGACAATATGTTTGTAAAATAAGACATACTTTGATTCCCACATTGTCCTAGTTGCAAAGTAATAATATCGCGCGGCATCGTAGCGCACGACCGAAGTACCCCGGTTTGAAGGACACAATTCTCAGTATCTAAAGTCAAACCTGCAGTGTGAGTAGTACTTCATCCTCATACTTATCACATCTTCCTTAAACCTGTTTTTATATGTCAAAATCACTTATTTTAGGTGAGCAAAGATGTTTTCAGGGATTTTCCACCGATAGAAGTGAGAGTTGTAGATAACTCGAAATGCTTGTTGAGATTCGGGAAGTAACGGGGAAAATATATAGCTCCTTTGTGTCATACTACTTCCAGCAGGCACGCGTAGCGATTAGGTAGACTAGCATGCAGAGTTGGTAGTACTGTAACTCTGAATGCTTTCCTTAACTACATAGCTCGTGAACATTTAACATCTATGCTGACCAGCTAAGTTTGACTGGATACACCATCAGCTAAATTCGTTCAGTCAAGCATGTTTGCCAGAATACTCTTCACTGTATCACGCGACTTATTGCCTCCCATGACTAGCCAGCTTAGAATTTACACGTTGTGACACTTCTAGTAGCAATGCAAATATATATTTTTACACAGTGGTTCTCATATTCGTTAATTGCCATAAGAGCATTTCGATAATGGAGACCCAGATGTTGGTACTGATTGATTTTGTTGCATCCGAAGCCTTGTAAGGATGACTAGAGACATGATGGATATCATAGCCTGATATTAGGACTAACATGCTCCGTTAAACAAATAGGGATGACAAATAAAAGATCAAAAATGAGGAATTCCCGTTGGGAAAATTAAATTATGGTTATTCGAATAAAACATGTTCGGCAGCACACATCGTTACTCAGCATTGCAGCTTTTCTCTCTTACAATTTTCACTTCAAATGGCTTTAATAAAGAGGAACAATAGTTTCCTTCTATCAAACATTTTATACTTGAATTGATTGAAGTTCCTCATTTCAATGGAGTTATGGAGTGTAATTCCACGGGATGTAACTATCTGGTTAGTTACAGCTGTGACAATTTGTGTGCTCAGTGGTTACTTAGGATTTATATGTCCACTGATACCTGATGATGGAAGTAATTATTTTCTTTTGCTTGGGTAACGATTACTTTGATTACGTTTAAACTTTATAGAGAGGTTTTCGACGACATATATTCACGTGCAGAAGTACAAGATATCTCAAACAATCAACGTACGCCTTAAGCACCTCGAGAAAAATTATATGGTGTTCTTGGGGCACCTTAGTAATCTCATAATTCAGTTTCTCATATGTTCTGCGTAGCTACTTAAGTCTTGATAAACATTTCATACTTTTTAGGCCAAATTTAAGTGGTACTTTGCTTGTGATCTCTTACAAACGTGCGTCATAACTATTTGACCCTGATTTCATTTCAAGTGTGATGTTTATCGCCTTCGTTTGTATTAATATTGAATCCGGTTCTCCGTATAAACTTCCATAACACTTGGTGTCACTGGATAAATCTGTCAAGTGGGCTCTCTGGTGTATTTCTGCATTTAAGAGGAAAAAGATATTATGACTAGATTCTATTCATCAGCGAGTTCAGGTATATTACTTCTTTATTATAAAAGAAATTGGTCTGGTATAAACTTTAATAGCCTCTCAAATACTCTGTAGTAAGCCCATTCAACTATTGTATTATTTGTCTACTCACTGTAATTTAGACACTTAATACACTATGTTAATTTCTGTATGTGCGTGATTGGGCGCGTGCCTGCACATCAATCCTTAATCTATTCTCCCATTGGTTGCAGGTACTGTTGATCAAGAAGTCATGGGTGTGAACATGTTAATTTTAGAATCTTTGGAACACTTCCATAGGCAGTAGGAATTCGGTTGGCACTGTTAACTGCATTGATTTTCTATGAAACGGTCTTGTATATTTAAGCGGTTATAAAACCTTCAATGAGTGATGATGGGTAATGATCTAGAGAAGTTTTTCTCTCTATTCATCTTTATTTTCTGGATAAATATTGGTTATAACCATCCATCGCAGAAATATTTCAAGCTGAAATTACTCGTCGGTTATGAGTTTAGTAGGTTTTAACTGGAGTACAACATAGGAATCGTTTTTATCAAATTGTACTTTGATTTTCCGTTTGTTTCCGGGGACGCACATCATCTTGTTTTTGGTATAGGATACGAGACACTGATATTAAACCGGGGATCAGTGTTGTTTCCTAGGTTCTTCGGTTAAATGTCTAGAAAGGTTAAAGGTTGAACTATAAATGTTGCTGAATGTAGTTCAAGATGGACTGTCAGCTATCTTAACCACTGGCTGAGATTGTCATTAGAAGGTGCCTGTTGAAAAGCTTCCTTGTAGTGCGGCTTTGCTGCTAGTGACACTAGTGTATGCAACATTTCTGTACGTGTTGTCACTCGAATACCATCTTAAATTTACTCCGTTTTGAGACAAGTTCGCGTAAACGTTTGTAGGAAGATTTAGATTAATAACCTTGGAACAAGTTTAGCGTTTTGGGAGTTGCAGAGATTTGTGACATCTCTTAGTTGTTTAGAAGACACATAGGTTGCAGGGCGAATTTATCGTGGTAGCGAAATAATTATAAACCTCAATACAAGCATATTCCATTCGTGGGGTTGTACTTATTCCTCAGAGGTACTTATAAAGTAGTACACTCCGACGGTTTCTATAGTGTCAATCAAGGTAGGAATCGATGTGACTTTAGGTCAGATCGTGCCTAATAGGCATCCACATCATGACGAGTAAACTACATTATTTCAGATCTACTAATTTGATGATACAAAGTAACTGGCAATACTCATTGAGTTTAGACGTCACATAATAATTACATGATGTCATGATGATTTATTGTTTTTGTGCTTGATGGGGAATAGAGCAACAGAAGATCGTTTCACAATGTCAAACTAGCCAGGAGGGTAGGTGGATTTTTGGAAAGAGGAGTACATAAAAGATTGCAGCTGGATAACGTGCTTATTCCCATAATGTTGTGCCAATCGGGTATTAAAGAAACTTAGCGAAGATCCTGACTAACTATGCTGGGATGATTTGCCGTGAAGACACTATTATAGATGAATTATTAATATTCGTAACTTGCGAAATACGAGTAGACATCCTACGAAATTCAGCAAGAACCACACGAATTAGATCAAGACAAGATCGGATACATCTACCATTTTGAAAAAGAGATACTACCACCGAAGAATTTGTAGCTCAAAAATTAAAAAAGGCCGTAAAGAAAACATTTACTGCATCCAAACTGAATGTGGCATTTTACAACCAGCCATTAAACGGACCCATCAGTAAAGACGGACTACCTGATTTCATAACATTCATGTGTATTTACCAGTTCAACTGCTTCTATGGAGCCAGTTATATGGAGCGTGAATTCGGAAGTCCCTCATTTCATAGGAGTACTCCATCCGTCTTGGTTGAGCAAAAGATAGGTAAGAGTAGTTAAGAGTTCTGTTTTCGCCCATTGAGTGAACACCAATTCGGCTTGAATAAAAAAATTTGTGGGGCGTCCATTGCATCCCATCAGATTCACTACATGGTATATGAGTTTGTCTTTAGCATATTGCTGAAGCTTTCGGAATCCATTGAAGATGCCACAGGTATTCGGAGTTTGACAGTGCTTTAATCAGCAACACCTTCTGAAATGAATCCTACACACTAAGTGAAATCAAAAGACAGAAGCGAAGAGGTTCGAAGATATATTTGATAAGCTATCAATATATCGAGGATCATCTGATCTAATCTGTCTAGCGATTGCAGGGGTTGTTGAGCACGGCATGACCGAGCGCCTTCAGCTAGGTGAGTCCACTAAAACTAATGTGGTCAGCATCCAATGTCGAAAACTTACAGAGCTATTTATTTTAGCGATTTACTTACCGCTACAGCATGTTCACAAAAATAACCTTAGCATCCATAAAAAGTTTGTAGCGGTAAAGTAATTCCTAAAATAAATAGTTCTGTTAGTCTTCGATATTGATGGTGACCTCGTTGGTTTTCCTGGATACACCCAAGGTGAAGGCGCTTGTTCACGCATCCCTTGCACCTGTCAACCAGCTTGAACCAAACGCTTCTCAACATATCGATAGCCTTCCAAATGTATATTCGACCGTCTTCATTTCTGACTTCTGATTCCACTGGGTTGATGTGTAGTGGCATTTGACCCTAACGTGAGACAATATGGGAAATAGACATTCATCATTTAACACGGAGAAAAACCAAACGGTGAAGAGGGCGGGAAGAATGAACTGAATTGATCCGAGTTGATCGGATGGCATGACTGGGCCTTGCAGGAGTAGTCTTATGTAACATTATTTTTATCCATATTATAAATAACGTTCTATCTCTAATCTAAGTGTGTTCTCCACCATATATTGGTGACCGTTAAGATGCAATGATTTGGTGTAGACGACGATGTGACTTCCATGTAAGATCTTATAGACTAGGCAGTTATATCATGACAAATCTACAATTTTAGGATAAGGTCTAGTATTAGAGCAGTACTAATATCATAGTAGACCATAATTCTACATTGGTGAACCCGACTAAAGAAACACAACCTACTACTGTTAATCGTCCTGTAATGACTTGTTTTAATCCAGTATTCTATTAGTCCTCTGATTAATGCTCAAATGTATTGTCGTAATGTTATATTGATTAGTACTCATGGCATACTAACTCAGTCGATGCCAATAACCGGTCATCTATGTCAAGTAGCTTTGATGGTTCATTAACAAGTTTTAATAGTAATTGCATGCTTCTGCGGAATAAACTTGTTTAAACACCAAGCTCTATCAAGTATGATCTATAAATGAACCAAACATGCATTGACTAACAACGTAAACAAGGACTATATAGTTATCTTGGTCTAATTCTTAGTGTTTCTTCACTTAACACAGTCTGTTTTAAACTGTGCAATATCGTGTAATACTGTACCGTCCACACTCAAAGAACTGAAAGCATTTCTCGGTTTAGTTGACTCGTACCGACGTTTCATCTCACACGCAGCAGAATGGTTACGACCATCGGCCGACTTACTTCGCGGTAATCC